ATTATTAAACAGCACAAACCCAAAGCACAAGAATTGTAAATAACAATTGTAAACAACGATTGTGGTTGAACCTAACAGCAAATAATTTTTATTTTTTGTTTTTGTGGTTGGTAACCTTATTACAGTGGTATACAAATAGAAAAAAATTATGATATTGTCTACACTTTCCATAATATTCTCGGTAATGTTTAACATTCTTTCAATTGGAGACCGTCTTCGGCTAAGCCTTTTACCAGTGTTTTAAAGCTGGCAAATTTCGAATCAATCGCTTTGAGGACTTGGGGCAGGGGCAGCCAAAGGACAATGCTTTCGCCTACCGAAATGGAGTGGAATAATTCGAGCCAGCATTGTTGTGCAAATGAGGCTTTTATTAGCGCTTCCTGGCGGCTGCGTGTCGACTCGTCACGACCGCGTACAGATAATTTATTTTCCGCCGCTCCCGGCCCATGAATCACACGTGGCGGAGGCGGCGGGCGCTTCTCCTTTCCTCCTCATCGCGGCCAACGTGGATCGTAGCAACGACCTCTGCGATTAACATGTTAGAAGCCGCGGCACTTTTATCACCTTCTTTTATCATGTTTCCTTGTGTACGGATTGACTTACGGCCATGAGATTATGATAACAATTTTCGATTTGGATTTTGTTGTATTTGCTCCAGCGCCCATATGGTAAGGATGGTATTTATTTCGTTGAACACTCCCGTTTGTAGTAAACTGCTTGACTGTACGGTGAAATGAATAACAGCATCATCAAGATTCCTGCCTGCTTCTCCATAAATCAAAATCATTTCTATTTTTTCTTCCACTGTTAAAAAATCCATCATGAATAACTGCTTAACGAAAGGAGGTCTTTTTATTTGCAAATTAATCTACGAACTAAATTGATTCAACAATGCTAAACTATGTATAAATGGATCAAAGAATTTGTATCCAGTTTTGCTTAAAAAATGAAATAAAATCTGTAAAATGTAACAAAGGCCTATAGTGAGTCTGCTATAAGTAAAACAAGTGGTATAAGAGTTTCCAACATGGCCTTGAAGACGTTGAAGATGACGAACGCCCCGAACGCACAAGCACATTAACAACCGATAAAAACATGAAAAAAGTGGATGAAATGGTTATAAACCATCAGAGAAGTCGCTGATGATGTTGGTATATCGATTGGCTCATCCCATGAAATTTTTTCGAATGTTTTGGGTATGAAACGCGTGGCAGCAAAATTTATTCTAAAATTGTTAAATTTGAACAAAATTTTTGGCCAAAAACAATACTGTTATGATGCCCCAGCCTCCATATTCGCCAGATATGCCTTTGTCTGACTTTTTCCTATTCCCAGAAATAAAGAGAACCTTAAAGGGCCGTCGTTTTGCAAGCATAGATGACATTAAAAGCGCATCGCTGAAAGAACTAAAGGCTATCCCAAAGATCGAGTTTTAGAAGTGTTTCGAGTATTGGAAGAAGAGCTGGCACATGTGCATAATATCCAATGGGGACTATTTTGAAGGCGACAACATTAATGTAGACGAATAAATAAATGTTTGTTTCAAAATACGAAAATTCCCGATATTTTCTAAAACCACCTCGTACATATATAAAATGGCAAAGTAAATTTCAGTAAATTTTGTTTCTGCAAGTTGGTACCTAATCTACCTAGATTTTAAAAGTTTCTGTATTTTGAAACTTGAAGATTTTGAATATTTTAACAATTTCAAAATAATAAATAATATTTCCTAAATATTGTTAAAATATTACGGAAAATTCGCTTTTTTTCTATAATTTAAAATAAATGAATGAAATTAAAAGAATATGAACCAATCGAATGCGTTAATGTTCGGGATTAACAGCGCGTTTGTTTAAGGTTTAATTCAAAAGAATAAATTTTATTATGCGATTTTATGCATTGATTTTTATGGATTTCACTGGTAGTGCATACCATTAAGCAAATTGAAAAGAACAGCGATTTTTAATGTATTTTGTTTTGTTTCATTATTGAAATTCATTCATTTTTATAATTTTAAAATTGTACAATTCACATCCATCCCGCTGATTCTACTGCTGCCGCTGTTCATATATCATAAAATCCCAATCGGCTTTATTTTATTATTCTATTATGTTTTATTCGCAGATGAATGCGAATCCACGTCTTTTTTTTATTTTTTTAAATATCTGAACACTATTTTTGAGGTTTAAAATATTTCCATATTATAATAATTATTATTATAAAACAGTAAAAGTACCTATCCAATAACTTTCAAATCGATAAATATGTTAAATTATTTAGCAGCTGTAGTATTAGTATCATTTTCCCTTCACATGGTCATAATTATAATTTTGTTTGGCATTAAATAATAAAATAACACTCTACAGAGCGCTGATACTACCACTAATTAGTTGGTTTATCGCCGTATGCACAAAGCGTAGTTATAAATTATTGGCAGTTTCCCTGTGCCCTATTGTCATAGAAATAATACTAGAAAAAGAACATTCAATTTCACTACAAACTATAAAACATTAAATAATGTATTTTTCATATATTATCATAGATTCGAATAATAGCAATTTTTAAAAATTGATAATCTTTGTACTCACTTTTACCCGTCAGTTCTGTGTCCAATGTCAAAATTCAAAATTCCTGCGAAATATTGAAGTTTAAACGTCAAGTCCTCGTTTTAACTCAAGTGTTGGTAAAAAATTACCTACAGAGCCCGCCCTTTGCACGACAGTCATCTTGAAAACAATGCAAGCGGCGAAGTTGTGCTGAATGCACGTATTGTTCCAGTCAAAATTTGAGTACTGTGTTCTTATAAGACGTATGCGTATATATATTTTATTGTAATTTATATAAGTCTATATGTGATTTGTTGATAAGTAGCTTTTACTAATAAAAAATATCAGTAAAATACTTAATTCCGAATTATAATCTCAAATTTGTATCCCATTCATCAGTACCATGTTCGATGTTTCGGTTATCTTTTTTTCGCAAACTTAAATTTAAATTCTGCTTGCGCAGAACTTGTTTATTTAATGTCATTATAAACTCATATAAATTTGGTGTGGGACCCATATCTAATAAATGATATATCGGTATACCCAAAATCCACCAGCCGCCACTGATGTGTGGTATTATTTCATTTTAAGTTATTTAATGTATAATATGCTCAACGTTGCAATAAATCTTATATTTTCCAATAAATGATGTATTTAATTAGTACCCTAGTATACTCGTCACTTCCCTTGCATTCAAATTTAGAAAAAAAAGATATTTCAGAAACTGTTTGAAAAAGTGACTGGCCCGGTCTGGAACAGTATATTTAATATATTATCTATGTTCTCATAACAAAATACTGTTTAATTTTCCCCGAAAACTATAT